CGTGCACGATCGCAACCAGCCGTACCAACCAACATCTGGGTGGTATGAGCGTTTCTTGTCTCGCCATTGTGTGTTGAGTAGCAGCAACCTGGTGGTGCAACATGTAAAATTCAAACAATGATAACAGAAATTCCATAGATGGTTCACTCTTGCAATTCTGGTATAAAATGCAAAAACACGGGGGCTTGATCCCTGCATCTTCCGCATTCGAAGCGGGAGCTCTAAAACGTGAGCTACATAACCCCAGTTCCTAATTTGCTGTGTATCGACCAGCTACTTTACCTTGCAACATGGTTTCTACCTGCGCTAACAACGCTAAGACCTCTGCCCCAGCATCGGCAACGACGCCTACGGCTGGTCGCCTTCTTTCTTGCCTGCCCGCCTTCGAGCCGAGCCTCATGCTCGCGCTGCTACTTCTGTCGCTGGGGACCGGCCAGACGACGACATGTCTGGTCCTCCCAGTCACGTCAATGAGCATGACCGCATCGACGTGACTGCTGCCAACTCCGCCGCCGCTGACCCCGCTGCCGAGCCATCCGCACCTTCCCAAGACCCGTCTCCGGACCTTCTTGATGGTGGGATGAATTGCTCAGCCGACGTCACGCACACGGCACAACCACCCAACGCACCCCCCGCGCCGGCTGTACGCACCAGGGCCACCCGATGTGACCCATGGGCAATCTTCGCTGCACAACGTGCCGCAGCAGCCCAAGCCCCCCGTGCCAAAGACATCGGTGCGCACTTGTCGTCCAAGGTCCATGGAGGACCTTGAGCCGCTGCTTGTCAAACTCGCGGCTGGCATTGACCTTTGAGGATACACTGCCTGTCCAACAACACGACATACGTGAGATAGTTGGTTGGCTTCACATGAACACGGGTCAACCTACCAAGAGCATCAGCGAGGAGCTGCTGGCGTCCCTGCTCCATGACAACCATTCAACGGTGAAACCGGACGTCCTACTCGACATCATCAAGTGTGAAAGGGACCTCCAAAATCGCATCGTACGCTGGGGGATCGCGAGCGCGACGGCCCTGCAGCACCTCGTTGGTGTGTCGTTGAAAGTTCGCATCTCGACAAACACCGCGAAGGGCAAGAGCACCAGCATGCTCACCTTTGCCCTCAAACAACAGCATGCATTGGATGGGTTCTATGTCGACATACCTGCTGGTTTACAAGGTAAACACGAAGAGCACGCTCTTTTCGACATGCTGCGCATGTTGGAGCCACGCTTCCTAATGGGGAGGTACAGCAGTCTATCAGCAACCACTGGACTAGCTGGCTCACGGTATCGACTGCATTTCCT